CCCCGGCCCACCCCCCCCCAGCCGCAACATCTTCACATGACCTTTCACGCTGAAGCAGAAGGGGCGAAGGCCTGGTTTCAGCCGCGACTGAGACTCCATCATGTAAGCGGACCCAGCACCCGCACTTCCCCTCTCAACCCTTCCCAGAGCCCCGCCCCGCGGCGCGCGCAGCGACAGCCCCGGCAGAGGCAGTAGTCCACGCCCTCGTGCGCCTGCGCCCTACTGGAGGCGCGCACTTTTCTGGGTTGATTTTAGTGCAACTCCAAGCTCAGCCAGACCGGGAACCTGTCTTTTGTCTTCTAGTCAGTGCCGCTCCACCTGGGTTCTAATGATCACAGAGCTACAGCTTTCTCGTTCTGAAGCAACCGCAGGGTTGGAGCAAGGGAGAGGGGCAGAGGGAACGGGAAATGGCTCTGTGTGGAATTTCCTTTAGTGATCCTGACTAGAGTAGCCACCGTCACTATCTTCCTCATTTCTCTCTAGCTGATGTAGATAATAAGAATGTCACTTCCATAGGAAATGGAAGTACTTAGTACTTAGGTACTAAGTTATAGTTAGGAGAAAGGTCTCGTGTTCTATTGCATACTATGGTGACTAGAGAATGATAATGTACTGTTTAGAAATTAAAAACTAGAAGACAGCCTCTACTCCAAGCACTCTAGGAGGTAGAGGAAGACTGGCAAAGTAGAGTCCACCTCAGGCAATTTAGTAACTTGGGAGATCATGTCGAAAATGAAAAGGCTGAGGGGCCTGGGGACCATAGCTCAGTGAAAAGGTCCTGGGTTTAATCCCTAGTCCTATAAAAACAAAACCAAACAAAAACTAGAAGAAACGATTTTCAATACAAAGAAGTAATAATGCAAATACTATGTATAATTTTTATATTGGCTACAAAAAAGGAATAAAATTCCACAAAAGCAATGCGTCTGTTTCTCTCCCTGAAAGTTCCCCATGGTCTCGTGGCCTATAGTTGTACAGTATGTGTAGCCTGAGCTTGAGTCAACCTGTTAAATTCTGTGTAGTTTTACTTTTGCTTCCCTCTGATATTAGTTTTTCCAGAGTTAGAACAGCCTGAGTTTCTTCAGATTCTTGAATTCAGTTCGTGTTTTCATAAGTGCTCCAATGATGCAGAGCTGCACCATTTTAGATGGTTTCTTTTTAGGAATATGCAGTATGTATCACTCCTTTTATATGAATTAAGTTCTGCCTTGGATAATTTGGCCATCACTGTAGTCCATTTGGACCTCTTTGCATCCTGCCCATCACAGTCCATTTCACTCCACCAAATCTGATCAGTTACCTTCAACAATCTTAACCTAGGTCACCCACAAAAATGTTCACCTTAATTTAAAGTGTATTTAATATGGAGAACACATCTGCCCTTGCTAGGTTGTGTCAGGCACAAGATGGAGAGGTGGCCTTTCAGGTGACAGATCTAGAAACTAACTAATATTGTAGGCAGCTAAGTTAGGTAGAAATTACTATACAGTCAAAAAGGGACCAGGCTCTCAATAAAGTTAGTGAAAGGTGGAGACATCGGACTTGGGCCTGGAGGTGCATGTGAAAAAGGCAAGAGCTGCATACTGCTCTAAGGGATGAATGGAAATTTGAGATTATATTATGATTGGTACCACTCAGTTGTTTAAGTCCAGATAACATGAGTTGCCCAGGTGGGGGCTCAGAGCATCCTCACCCATCCTGTCCCCAAAATGCCTTTGTTCTTTCCATGTACCTTTGCTATGTCAGTCACTTCTCTATTGGCTCAATATTAGCTAAATGACTATACTTATAATCTTTTGGGTTGATTATATTTGACCTATGTTGTACCCACATTTGTGACCCTGCTGTACAAATTACCCCTGACAAAGGGCCTCGGTGGCAACCCACTTTTGGGTCCCCTCCTGTTTCTCAGGAGCTATCTCTCAATCAATCTTTCCTATTTTTAAAAAATCTTATTGAGTTTATTGGTACTTTTTAAGTACACAGTACAGTTACATTCATCACTGGGATCTTGTACCTTTACATGACAGGTCTTGGTTCTCATTTTTCCCTCATACCCCTGCCCTCCCTTCACTTCCTCCACCCTCCCCTATTTACAAACAGTTTCCATTTTTTCCTTTTCTCAATCTTTTCTTGTCCCTTATTTCCTTTCCCCTATTCTTCCCACTTTCCTATTCTTAACCTCTCTTATTCCTTAGAATTCAGTCTTTCGTTTTGGAGGACACAAACTCTGCATATCTGACATCTAACAGGTTGGGAGTTATATTTTCTCCTATGGCACTAAGTGGCTGCCAGCATCTTGAACTCCTAAGAGAAGTGGGAAACTCTTCTACTGCACAGGCGAACTCTCACATCCTCACATCCAGTGAGGATGTAACATCTGGAGTTACTGGCCTTGGCCATATGACTTATACCACCCCATCTGCCCTACATCCGGGATGAGTATTTGCTACCTAGCAACAGGTCCAACTTACAGGTTTCCGCTGTATTCCCATTTGTCCGACTAGTTGGAATACCCGTTGTGCCTGCCTGAGAGATCTCCAACATTTACAGTCCAGACCCTGGAAATTGCAAAGTTCAGAGGAAAGAGCAGGAGGGATGAGAAGCAAAACAGAGGGCCTTGAACATCAGCTCCAATCCCCAAACCCCTTTGGGCAGTGCTGGGGATAAAACCCAGGACCTGAGCAAAATGCTCAATTCTTCGAGGAGGAACTTTCCGCACGGCAGTGACAATTTCTAATTTTCTTGCTGGGTTGTTGGGAGAAATCCAAGACTTAATGACTGGGTGTGTGCGGGCTCTGGATGGGGTAGGGCGCTCAATCTGCAACAACTCACGAACCAGTCCCTGGAATTAGTAGCCACCCATCCTCTAGATCTTGCAGAGTCAAGAGTACACACCGCTAGCTGTGAGCCCTCCCGCTCCGACCTTTACTTTGAGCTGCGGAGAGGCGGAAAGCGGCGGGGCTCTTTAAGGGCCGCCCCAGCAGGATCCGGGGCGGAGCTTGCGGCCACCGCAGCTCACTAGCCGGGGCGCTGCGTCTGCGGCCCAGCCATGCT